CTCGTTTGTGCCCCTCGTGAAGTAGTACGTCCCCACCTCGTGTTTTGTAGGTTGACTGTAAGGTCTTGTTTGGTCCCTCAAAAAATTATTTCATTTTCGAAAAGGTATATTAGGTTGGAAAATGTTAGCTAGGTCCACGTATTTTATTTTGACTCAACGAGTAGACAATTATACATTTATAATAAGTATATTTAATTTAAAACCGAAATATCATACTTTTTTATAAATAATATGAACAAAAATATGACATCTCAGAACACAAATATACATTTTTGTAAAAAAAATAATATCAACCCGATTAATGTTTAGGCTGCTTCATATACGAATTTTAATATAACTGTATTTCCACTTTTAAAAAGTATGAAGTTTCAATACATATACATGTTTCAAGAACAAAAAATGATTTTATTTAGTCAACAACTTATTGTGGAAAAATTAGAGTTAAGAATAAATTAAAATTGGGATAGATATATGACTGCAACTGTGTGTGACCCAAAGTCGTCCCAATTATATCCCACTAAAATCTTTTGTTTGGATAAAATTTTGAAGTATCATTAATATTCCATATATATATCTGATGCATGTGCATGAGTTATAATTTATTTATCTCAATTATTTAAAAATTGATATATAATAAGCAAGGATGTGGACATTGATTTCGAAACATCATATTATTCAGAAAATAGTACGGTCCCGTTACGGAACCATTCCGTCGGAGTTTGTAACCATTAAATCATCATGTAACCGTTGGAGATACTTGATCTAACGGTTACAAACTCCGACGAAATGGTTCATTAACAGGACTGTAGCATCTCCTCATATTATTCATATAGTAGAATTAATATTTCCTATCAGAAAAAAAAAAAATATATATATATATCAAAAATCTCACTTTTACGTAGAAATATATAAAGGGGGAAATATACTAAAAGAATGTGAGTCAATTTACAGTTATAACAAATCAATCATTTTCTTCTCCAATTTTCGTAGTCATCCCTTAGTTTATATTTCATAATACTTTCGTATTAAATATCAATCCCTTTCATATTCACCTTCGTATGCACTTCCCAAAGGACCCATTTTTAGGTGATGACTATTATAGTAGCTATCTATTTGAATACCCTTTTATTCTTACTCTATTTATTTTTTTATAGTTCATTATTGTGGGAATTGAGTTACATCAAATTTAGGATGCAATTGGGTGGTCGAGATCAACCATGGTTATCGCTATTGGCGGGTTAGTTAGGGGAATTCAGGAGCTTGTGAATCGTCATTGGGTGGTCGAGATCAACCATGGTTCTCGCGAAGCCAACTTTGTGGCGGATTATTTAGCGTCGTTGGCGGCCAAAGGGTCCGGATGGGCTTCATAGACTGGAGCGGCCTCCGCCGGAGGCAAGCATGTGGTTACTCCATGATAGGATGGGCGTGTCTCATCGCCGTTCGGTTATACTCTAGGCTTCACGTAGCCTCCTTCTTTGTACAAAAAAAAAAAAAAAATTAGGATGCAATTGGGCCTGGACCCAGCTGGCTTGGATTGGCCAGCAACCTTAAGGGCGGGTTGGATTCGACCCATTTTATAAATGGGTCAAATCTGAGTATATAAAGTAATTTTTTTAATATTATAGTCCTAATTATGAATTAAATTGTGCCACTTATAATTGATGAAAATTCAATATCTCATTTAGAGTTAGAATGAGTAAGCAAACCATATAGTGTCCATGTATTAAAAAATCAGCACCATAACTAATTAATTTATAATTCATAAATTATTTTTTAATAGCAATTTGAAAAGAAAAAAAAAAAAGAAAAGAAAATCTAAATATTTTATTTGGGCATATCATATGAGCTGGAGTGGCATGTTTGGTACTAATTTTGGGTTGAGTGCAGACCCCATTTCGAAAAACAAAGAAAAAATTGCAGAATAAAACAGGATAATGACAAAAATACAGCAATTTTTTATTTGTATAGTTTAATTAATTTATTATATCGTACAAGATCGTTAAAATTTATACATTTAAGCACTATTATATTTGAAAGGTGCATATTGACAAATGTTATGACATTTTATTATTGAGTTATATCTAAAAGATGATTATAATATTTACAATATATATATAGTCATGAGATTAAAATGAACCAGATTTCGTGTTCCAATTTCGTATTTTATTCAATATCGGATAAATAATAAACGTTTATTACGACTTTATATTTGTGTCACGCATCCAACAGAATGAAACAGGAAATGAAATATAAAAAAGGAAGGCAAATACAATGTAAGATTGTATAAAAACCTAATTAATATACTTTTGGTAACAAGAGGACTATCCAAATAATAATAATAATAATTATTATATCCTTTTCTTTTTAAGTCATAAGGGCTTTTTGCCAAAGGGCCTTAATCAATGACTCAATCATGTAACACTGTAAAAATTTTTAGAAAGCTGAAAGGTGTCTACTGTCAAGACCTAGTAATTTACTGTAAAAAAAAAAAAGATAGAATTATTATAAAAGATTACATGGTTCAAATCAAGGGCTTTTTCTATGTATACAAATCACACACAAATCAAACTCTTTATATAATATTTAACATGGTGGGCTCTCTTTTTGAGTTACTTTATGAGGGAAGAGGAAGGTGGTGGACAATTGAGCAAAAAGAAAACAAAATTAAAGGAGAAAAACTAAAAAGAAATGTGTTCATTATTTTTATATCTTAAATTATAATTTTCATATCTTTTTTTATAGTAAACGAGTTGATCCGATCTGAGCTCGAGTTCTTAATACTCGGACTCGATCATTTTCCGAATCTATAAACGAGCTTGAGGTTGAGCTCAACTTGTTTCTTATCAATATATTAACGAGTTGAGTCATAAAAATTTACGTAAAAAGTTCAATTTTTGAGCATGAACGAGAACGGCTCGTTAACTAAATGATCAGGTTTTTATTTTTTAATGGCTCAAGTGTAGACATAAAAGTTATAATTTCTTAGTCTTGGCTAGTTTGAGCTCGACCTCATGATTAACTAAAGAAGCTTTTAACGAGCACGGGGAGGAGCCGAATAACTTACTAACGACTCGTTTCGTTTAATAACTCTACTGTAATAGTATCTTTTATTTTCTATTGGATAAATAATCAAGCTTAATGCAATTAGATAAATTTCATTACATATTATATTATGTAGAGAATAAAACTCGAGTGTAAGTTTTGAAAAATAATTCAAATTTAATATTTCTTGTTTTTTTTT